CCCTGGTGGGAGCCAGCTGTCCCCTCTTCAGCCAGGAACCAAGCACTGAGCATCACCATGAGCCAGACGCTGGGGTGTAAGGAATGGAGACCCTGCCTCCCACCTGCAGGGCCTCATGATCTGGGTAGGGCCAAAGAGTGGGGAGAGGGCCGAAAACCTAGAAATAGATGCGCAAGCAAAACCCGCTCAGTGCCATGTCCCCGTGACTGCCCCACGGCCCCAGTCCCCAGTGGCTGTGAACCCTGGCTGCCCACGGCTGGCAGCTGTCCCCTTCACCAGAGAGCTGTCCTTGGGGGAAAGGGCGCTTCTTCTCCCGGAAGGTGACTCCCACCCCCAGAAGTGGGGCAGCCAGTAGCCAGCAGCCAGCTCTCTCTGGTGGGACGGGGCAGTCACACTCCTGCACCCCTGGTGTGATGGGGCCAGGCTGGTCACAGCTGTGTTTCCGCCTTGCCTGGCTGTCCCCTGTTTGGCCCTTCTCTCCCCTTTCCCTGGGAAGACTCCCGAGATAAACTGGTTTCACAAGACTTCCCATCCGTGGTCCCTGATCAAGATGGGAGGAGGACAGGCCTGGGACCCCCCGGGGCCTTAGCTGGCCCTGGTGCCTTCCTGGAGAGATGGGAGGCGCAGGCCTCAGGGGTCGCTCCTGTCTTGACTTTTAGAATGTGGCCTTTTTATGTGATCTTCCGAGAGCTGCTGTAAAATTGTGCTGCAGACTGGGTGGTTTGGAACCATAGATCTCTATTCTCTTAACAGTTCTGGAGGCTGGAACTTCCAATCCAGGTGTGGGCAGGGCCACACTGCCGCAGAGGGACCCGGGGGAGAGTTCTTCCTGCCTCTCCGGCTGCTGGTGGCTGCAGGTGCTCCGTGCTCGTGGTTGCGCCCCTGCCATTCCCGCCTCCACGTCATCCCTGTGCGTCTGTCCACTCTTTTCTTGTGGAGGCGGGGAGTGGGTACAGAGTCTCACTCCGTTGCCCAGGCTGGAGTGCAGTGGCGTGATCTCAGCTCATTGCAACCTCCGCCTCGTGGGTTCAAGTGATTCTCCTGCCTCAGCCTCACTGGTAGCTGGGACTGTGGGCGTGCACTACCACTCCTGGCTAATTTTTGTATTTTTAGTAGAGACAGGGTTTCACCCTGTTGGCCAGGCTGGTCTCAAACTCCGGATCTCAGGTGATCCACCTGCCTCGGCCTCCCACAGTGCTGGGATTACAGGCGTGAGCCGCCGCACCTGGCCTGTGTCTGCTCTTCCTGTAGGGCACCAGTCGTGGGCGTTAGGGCCCGCCCTCCTCCAGGGTGAACTTGTCACAGGAGCCTCAATTCCAAATAAGACCCCGTCCGCAGGGTCTGCGTGGACATGGGCTTGCGGGGACCGTATCTGACCCACCCTGCGCTTGTCCTTGGAAAGCCACCTCTGGCTGCGTTTTTGGTGTTCGTGCTTTGACTCTCGCTGCTTGTCTGTGGGCCCGTCTCCTCCGAACCCTGCTAGGCCATGCCGCACCTTCCGGGGACAGGGTCTGCAGGTTTCAGACTACACTGTGACCTCCCTTGGGTCCCTACCGGTTGGAGAGCCAACCCCCTTGTAACTAGGAAGTTACGAGGTCAGCGGAGACAAAGAATTAAGAGACAAGAGTAAGTGTGCGTAAAGGCGGGATCCCAGGGGTGGGCGAGCGGGGGGATGCGAAGGCCTGGAGCAGGAGACCCACACTATTTATCGAGTTTGTAAACAGGGAAGCCTGAGCTCAGGGATGTGGGGGTGAGCAAAGGGCGAAGCATCCGCAGATGATCTATAGCTGTGGCGGTCTGGCATTTCCTTGGGAGGTACAGAGCATGCTCCACGTTAGATACAATCAGCAAACAAGCAGATGAAAGGCTGCAACCGAGCCAGCAAATCTGGCCACTTTTTGGTGCTTCAAAGCGGTCTTCCTTGCTTTGAGGACGGAGCATGGTCTTCATTAACTCCCAGCCTGCGCATGCACCAGCCTCCCTCTCCACGCCTGCCTCCACCCCAAGCACCTCCAGCCCTCCCCTTCCCGACACAGGCAGACAGAGCCAGGGGCAAACCCAGGGCCTGCCCAGCCAGTGGCCCGAGTGGCTCTCGGGGAGCAGGGCCGTTGGTGGGGACGTCTTGGGGCCTCTTCTTCGAGGGTCTCAGCATACAACATGCAGTGGTCATTTGGGGCTGGGCTGGGCTGCCGGCGGGAGCCTCACCCATGGCCTGCCTCCCCGCTGGGCAGCCAGGGCAGGGCGCTTGCTGTGACAGTGAGCGTGTTCTGGACCCGCCCCGGCCAGCAAGACAGCTGCCCTTGTGTGGCGGGTGGACTGAGGATGGCGTTTTTCATCCTGCTGAATTGTAATGGATTGAAGTGGACCGGCCCCATGCGGCTAGTGGCCTCTGTATTAGAATCCTTAGAGCCCACGCACGGGGGGAGGCGGGGCTGAGGGTGTGCGGGTGTCCTGGGTGCTGTCTGTGGCTGTGTGGCCCCGGTGCCTAATGGGGGACTCCAGGACACAGTAAAGTGCAGGACCTGTGGCCTGTGGACTGCAAGTGAATTTCACCCCTAGAGCACACCTCACGTGGCGCTGCGCAGGAACGCCCTCCCCATGACCTGGCGGTCAAGCCCCTTCTCATGCCCGCAGCACCCTGATGACCACCGCCCTCTCGACGGTCGGCATCTTAGTCCATTGGCGGGCCACTGTTGAGAGTAGTGGGAACTCAGGCTGCAAGCTCCATGAGGCGAGGAGGCCCCCCGTCTACACTGCAGCGGCGGTACAGAGTGCAGTGAGTGCGCTGGTGGACGACCTCTGGCGTGTCCGCAGGCATGTCTTCAGATGTGCACTCCTGCGATCTCCGGCGCTGCGCCAGCCATATGCTCTGGTCCAATCTGCATGACCCCAGTGAGGAACAAGATATCTGAAAATAGGCGGGTCATTTAAAGCCCTGCCCTTCACCTCCCTGAGCCTTGGTGCGGGCGTGAGTAGTTCCAGTAGAGGCCCTAGGAGCAGCCTTGCAGGCCCCCTGCTGTCCCCGCACGGGCGAGTCAGGCGAGGGGATGCCGTGTCACACACAACCCCAGTCTCCGTGGCATCGAAGAGCAGGGCTTCTCTTTGGCTCTCACCACGTGTTTCTTGTGGGTCGGCCATGACTTGAGCGTCCCAGCAGCACCCAAGGGGAACATCTAGGGCAGCCTTAAACGGCTTTAGGGGGCCCGGCGCAGTGGCTGACACCTATAATCCCAGCACTTTGGGAGGTCAAGGTAGGAGGATCACTTGAGCCAAGGAATTTGAGAACAGCCTGGACAGCATAGTGAGATTCTGTCTCTGCACACATTGTCTTTTAAATTGGCTGGGGCACGGTGGCATGCACCTGTAGTGCCTGCTGTGTGGGAGGCTGAGGTGGGAGGATCGCTTGAGCCCAGGAGTTTGAGGCTGCAGTGAGCCGTGATTGCACCACTGCACTCCAGCCTGGGTGACAGAGCAAGACCCTGTACTGGGGAAAAAAAAAAAAAAAGGCTTTGGAAGCAGAGGCTCCTGGCCCTGCCCTGGGTGAAATCTCTACTTCAAAGTCTCGCTTGGCTGGGCTGGCCCTGAAGGACCCCCAAGTGTAGATGGATAGGGCTTTTCTTGGGCTGGTGGCAGAGGGGGAAGGCCTGTGAGCTGAGTCTGTGGGGGGTGGAGCTCTTCGGGAGGGAAGAGTTGGGGGAGGGCAGAGTGTCACCGCGTTGGCTTGAGGAGAGACTGCGGGGCCTGAAGCCTGCGTTTCCAGAGCCAGTTTGAAGCTGAACCAGCAGTGGGCTGAGCTGGGGGCGGGGGAAGTGGACCGCAGGGTGGGGTGGGGTCCTTAAGGCACTTCCTAAGTTCCAGGCAGGGGGCATGCCCCTGAAGGTCTTTGCTTCCACAGGGAGTGGAATTTTCGGACAGATTTTTAAACAGACCAGAGGAAGAACTTCCCAACGTGGAGCTGTGGGGTGGGCTGGGGAGGGGAACAGAGAGTGCTTTCTTTGTGTCTCTCTGAAGGGGCTCTTTCTGAAGAGGCTGCAGATGGCTTCTTTTCCCATAGACCTCTCTCTCCCTACCTTGCCAAGATTCTTCTAGCTGCAAGTGACAGAAAGGCAGCTCAAATCGTCTGAAGCCTCAAAATGGATTTGCTGGTGCTCACAAGTTAGGGACAGCTTCAGGTGTGGCTTGACCCAGGCATTTGAACAATGTTGGCAAGACTTGATCTTTCGCCGTCTTTGACCCCTGCTCTCCTCAGTGTAGCTCTATTTCCTCGTGGTTTCCACCCACAGCCCCCACATTGTTAGCTCCCTCGGTGGGGGGTGGGGGGACTGTCCCCACAGCTCTGGAGGAAAACCTGGACAGGGCTCTCACTGGCCCAGTGTGGGTTACACGCCCATGCCTAATCTAGTCCTTGTCCTCGGGGAGACGCGGTGCCGTTTCTAGAAGAGGCGGATGCTGGGTAGGCCTGCCCTGCCCTCCCGCAGACATGTGCCACTCTGACCGGCTTCCCATGCCCTCTACAGGCCTGGCCAGCTCCCACCTGTGTGTCCCTCCCTGGCAGGTGTGCCACAGACACAGGTGTGGCGGCGTCTCTACCCCTCTGGAGGTTGTCCGAGCCTTGGGTGGCACCAAGAAGGGCTGGGAATCTTTTCTCCAGGCTGAGCGTGGTTTCAGCCCCACGCAGAGCACAGAGGGGATCCCAGTTCTACAGGGCTCTGACCCGGGCTCGGGGTGGGTGTGGCCTGGAGGTTGCAGTGAGAGGCTATGGCCGTTCCCCTTGTTGAGAATGGGAACTAGGGGGCAGGCTGGCAGTGGGGAGCTGGACAGACCCCCGAATGCCTGGATCCCAGGGAGGGGCTCTGGGTGGGCTTCCTGATGGGCCCCACAAACAGCTTCCAGACCAAGCCGGGGCCACAGGGTGTCAGGTGGTCCTGTGTGCCCAGTAGGGAGCTGAGGCCACTGCGACAAGGGGCTGCATAACCCTGCATCCCTGGCTCTCCCCACAGGCCCCCTCCCAGCCCCCACATCCCCCCGCATCCGAGATGAGGCCCCGGATGCTGCCTGTGTTCTTCGGGGAGAGCATCAAAGTGAATCCGGAACCCACACATGAGATCCGGTGAGTGGGCTGCTGGGCTCTGTGCCGGAGGACGGGGTGGGGCTTGGGGGCTGGTCCTGACTCTTTTGTGGGGTGGGGGTGGGAACTAGGCCAGGCTGGGGGGCCCAAGAGGCTCCCTACTGTCTAGGTAGCCCCTCTGGGTGCTGCGTCCTGGGGAGGATGGCCGTGTCTTGGCCAGAGACAAAACTGATTTGAAGACTCTGACCCCAAGGGACCCTCTGCAGCCACCCCACACCCCCACCCCATGCCTATTCAGACATTTCCCCATTTATCTTCTTTTATTTTAAATCCAACATCCCAGAAAATTTGGAAAATTGTAAACACAACCACTTGTGCGCCCTAACTGTCCTTCCTTTTCCTGCCAGATTTTTTTTTGAGACGGGATCTCACTGTGTCGCCCAGGCTGAAGTGCATTGGTGGAATCATGGCTCACTACAGCCTCACCCTCCCGGGCTCAAGCAATCCTCCTCCCTCAGCCTCCCGAGCAGCTGAGACTACAGGTGCGAGCCCCCATGCCTGGCTCATTTTTGTATTTTTTGTACAGATGGGGTCTCACTATGTTGCCCAGGCTGGTCTCCAACTCCTGGGCTCAAGTGATCCTCCTGCCTCAGCCTCCCAAAGTGATGGGATTACAGGTGTGAGTCACCACACCTGGCCCCTGCCAGATTGTTAGGTGTTCACAACCAAACCATTCAGGCAACTCAGGACCCCTTTCCACTCTGTCATCCACATGTTAGGGGGACACTCAGCTGCTCCATGTTCTTTGTGACTATAACTTAGGTTCTTGAGGCCACCCATGAGCTACTGCACTGCAGGTGTGCCAGTGCCTCTCAGGCAGATGACATCTTAGGTGGCATCTGAATTGAATGAAGGCATTCCTGCTTGGGAACTCACCACAGCTGAAGCTGCTGGGGCTCAGGCTTCCCAGAGGTGGAGTGCGGGGTCCGAGAGTCTTGCCCGTGTTATCTGTGGGGCTCTCTCTGTCCACCTGTCCCTGTCGAGTGGGGCCAGCCGAGCATCAGAGACCTACTGCCTGCTGCCCTTGCCAGCCACGCACATGGTCCCAGGAGACAAATGGGCCTGCTTCTGTATTATTTCTCAGTCCCCAAGCCGCCCTCATTGTCTAGTTTTTAAAATGATTCAAGCCCACATCAGATCATCAGAAGCCCAGCAAGGGTGGAGGACGGATGCTGGGACCCTCAGGACCTCTGATCCCATCACACATCTTTTGTGGGGATTCAGTGGGGAATGAGATGGGGGGACTCTCTCCCTCCCAGAGCTTCCAGTGTGGTTTCCTAAAGCTCTGGATGTGGAACTGGGGGTCACTGATCAGTCACTCATCCAGGGGTGTTGAAGCGTTTGGGAAATGTATTTTGATAGAATTTCAAACTTACTGAAAGGCGGCAGGCGCCTCTCAAACAGAGTCGCTGGCTGTTTATATCGTGCCCTATTTATTTGAGAGGAGATTGGGGACGTCCTGCCCATGAGCCCCCAGATACTCCTAAGAATGGGGACAACACAGCTGTCAACATGAGGGAGGCACAGCTTTGACGCCAGCACGTGACCCACACGGCCTGGCTCGGTTTCTGCCATCCGCCCCACAAGGCCCTCTCCTGGCTTACTTTCTCCCCATCTCGGGATCAGCCGGGGCGCTGCACTGGGTCCAGCTGTCTGGCCTCTATAGTCTCTGTGGAGCCAGAACAGTCCCTCAGTCCTTCTTTGACCATCTTGACCTTGACATTTCAGAGCAGCCCACACCCATTACTCTTCAGAGCGTCTCCCCGGGCCCTTCGGTGTCCATGGTGCGAGCAGGCCACTGGGCTGCCCCCCCTTCCTGGGCTCACTCTGTGTCCCCCCTGCCCTTTCCAGCTGCAACTCTGAGGTCAAGTACGCCTCGGAGAAGCACTTCCAGGACAAGGTCTTCTATGCGCCCGTGCCCACCGTCACGGCCTACAGTGAGACCATCGTGGCGGCGCCCAACTGCACGTGGCGCAAGTACCGCAGCCAGCTGACCCTGGAGCCGCGCCCACGCGCCCTGCGCTTCCACAGCACTACCATCATCTTCCCCAAGCACGCCAGGAGCACCTTCCGGACCACCCTGCACTGCAGCCTGGGCCGGCCCAGCCGCTGGTTCACCGCCAGCGTGCAGCTGCAGCTGTGCCAGGACCCTGCCCCCAGCCTCCTGGGCCCTGCCATGCTCTGATGGGGCTGGGGCCGGCCCGGGGTGCTGGAGGGGCCAGGAGGATAGACACGATGAGCTTGGCCTGGCACTCGGGCAGGGGGCAGGCGGCAGGCGGGGACGCCGCCAGGCCAAGGACCCGTGTGGAAGGAGACAGACCCACAGGCTGGGTGGGGTGTCTCCTTGTTTTGGTGTCAAGGACTCAATAAAAGTACCTATTTTCTTAGCACTTAAGCCAGAAAGGCAGTAGAGGCACGCGCTGTTAGGTGGTGGCCACCTCCAGGGTCAGGGGAGAAGAATGGGTCCACGGCGTGCCCTTGAAGCCGAGAACCACCTTGAGCAGTGCAAGGACAGAGGCATCCCAGCCTCAGCTGGTGGGGGCAGCTGCAGCTCCCCGAGAGCCCTGCCACCCTGTGTGCCCCAGGCTGGTGGCCGAGGCCGTGTGTAAGGGAAGGGGGTGCCTCGCTTCCCTGCTGCTGGCCTGGGGTGTTTCCCAAACAGGCCTTTCATGCGTGTGCAGTTGCACCAAAAGGTCCGGAGCCGTGGCTAAGCCACCTCTGGCAGATTGAGCCAGGAGGTTGGGCAGAGGCTGGGTGCTGATGCCAGGGCTGAGGTTGGTTATATTGGGGGCAGGGAAGGCCTAGAAATACTTTGAGCTGTGGCCTTGCCACTGTCTCGTGCCCTCTAGTGTTGAAGATTCGGGGCACTGCCCATCTAAGTGGAATGGTTGGTGCTCAGCCTTTGGAGCCTCACCTGCGGGGCGCCCCCAGCTAAACACCCATCCCTGCACCGCCTCCAGGGCTAGAACCCTTGATGTCAAAATCAAAGTGCCCAGCAGAGGCAGTGAAGCTCTCGGAAATGCTGCCACCTGTGAGGGGCCAGGTCTGAACTCGAGGGAGTCAGAGCTCAGCTGTCGGTTTAAAGAGACACCAGGGGACCGGGTTGCAGCCCTCAGCCTGCGTTTCTGTGCGTGATGGATTCTGCAGTGACAGCCCGTTACTCCTTCCTGCCGCAGACTCGCCCCTGCCTGTGGGATGTTGTGGGAAGAATGAAGCCTGGGAGCCAGATGAAGACTTGGCTCAGGGTTCCCTGGAACAAGCCAGGAAGCACGGGGCGCGGGGGAGCTGGGGGAGCCCCCTAGGCTGCTGAACAAACACCCCAAAGCCCGCGCTGCGGCAGGGTGCCGAGGAGATGCCCCTGTGAGCCTTCCTCCCCCTCAGACCTGAATGCACCCCGCAGTTGGGGGCTGTCCCTGCCACTTCCCTGGTAACCCCCAAAAGGGGGAGGGAAAGGTTCCCTGGGGCTTGAGACCTCTCTGTGGGGGGTGAGGAGGGTGATTCTGTTCACATCTGGGAGAGGCAGAATGACTGATATATTTTTATGTATCTATACAGAGAGTACATTTTCTCTCCAGAGATGCTTTCTGGTTAACAAAGGAATAACTTAAATCAATTGATTATCTCAATAAACTGTGCAAACCCAACACGACTTCCTTTTCTGTCTGTGAGACCCTCAGATCCCACTCCCCTTTTTCTGTGTGGCCATGAAAATCTGGGCACCAGAGCTTGCCCTAGGGAGCTGGCCTCGAAGGCCATCATCAAAGGGACAAGGAAGAACTTAGCCCCCGCCCCTGTAGACAGCCTCAGGGTACACCAGCTCCATCCAAGAGCTAGTCAGGAAGTGCAGGGACCTGGGCCTCCCTAGGGACTTGCATCTGGGGGGCAGTTCCTTGGATGGGCCTGGGTATCTGCATTTTTGATGGTGTGCATCTCCTCAGCTCCAGCAAGCCCCTCAACCCACAGCGTCCCTGGAGAGGCGCCCTGGCTGCCACCGCAGAGCGGCCGGCTGGGACGCACCTTACCATCTGTTTCTCTCCTTCTGCCCTTGGAGAGGCCCCTGGGGCTCCATGGAGATCGTGAGTGCATTAAAGGGGACACCCACAGCCAGGGGACAATGTCCTCAGCGAGTCAGGCTGGATAATCCGACTAGAATTTGCCCCGAGGCTCTGGAGTTGGTGGGGGCAGGGGACAGGGCGTGTATTTGCCATAGAGACTGCTGGAGACAGCTCCTCCAAGGGGCTGGGTCACAAGAGTGCCGTGGTCAGGGTTGGTGGTGGCCTCTTGGGCCCACACCCTAGCCTGGCGGTGGTTTAGCTAACACGAGTGGGAAGCCTGTGTGTGTCAATTGAGCGTGCTCCTTCCATTCCAGACTCTGTAGGAAACATTCCATAGGAAACGTCGCATGCCATTCCTACCCACTGACATGGGTGCTACCGCATCTCCACTTCACAGAGGAGAAAGTAAGGCGCAGAGAGGTGGAGTAACTTGCCCATCCTGGTAGCAGGCAGAGCCAGAATCTGAGTCCAGGATCCTCGACCCTCTGAAATGCCGGCCGCCTGCTTTGATGGAGGACAGCCCCTAACGGGAAGGGGGATGAAAGGAGAGCCGCTGAGTCAAAGGAGTTTACATCAACTCGAGGACAAATCCTGAGGCCGCCACTGATCTCCACGGACAGAAGCGTGCCTCGAGCCCTGAGCCCTGCGTCCATGGTGGGATTCCCTGCAGATGCCTGCGGGGGTGGCATTCTTTGCACCTTGCTTAATCCATGCAAATTCAACTCCACAAGCCTGATTTTAAATCACAGCCTTCATCTGTCACCGCCTCAAAGGGAAAGTGGATAAAGCTTTCTGATGTGTGCAATCAGAGTGCCAACGACTTCAATAAACACGGGGGTGCCCCTGGGGTCCGTCTTCACTCTGGAGCCAGGTGGGGTCAGCTGAGCCCGTCAGATCCGCAGGGCCCGCCAGGTTCTTCCACCCTGTCCCGTTCCTCTCTCCTGTCTCTCACAGGCATTCCCCCGAGAAACCTCTTACCTTCCTAACTCCATTGCAGCCTGGAGAACCCGGAGAACACGTCCGCCTCTGAGCGCACGCAGTTGGTGGCCTTCCAGCTCCCTCTACCATGCAAATGGGTTTTGCCTTTGCTGATGATGCTGGAGGTGCAGCCTGCCTGCTGGTCATGCAGGGTCCAGGGAAGCCCAGCCAGGCACAGGGCGGAAGGAGGGGCAAGGGCAGCCACTCCAAAGCCCCCAGGTGCATGTGCTTTTCCCTTGAAGCAGCTCATCTGCCCTAGGGGGACCCAGCAGACCTGGAGAGGGGCAGGAAGAAGTGCCAGTTCCGTCTAGATCCTAGTCCTCTCCTCGGGGAATTTCTCCCCTGAAATGGACTGGCTGATGTCCCGAACTGCCTAGCCTTTGCGCGTGCTGCTAACGCACCTTTCCCATCTCCCTGAAGCCCACGTACACCAGACGTGCAAGATTCAATGTGCCATGAAAGACCCCGGTGATGTCCCCAGAGGGGCAACTGTCACTCACTAGGCCTCGGGGAGGGGAAACTGACCGAGGATGGGCTCTGTCACTGGGAAAGGAACAGCCCACCTCACTTCTCTAAGCGTCTGCAAAATGAGTGTAAGGGCTCTACCTCCCAGATCTAAAATCAGACTTGGCAGCCCCCTGCTTTGCCCAGCAAATGGTGCCCCTTCCCCGAACGTCCTTGAACCTGACACTGGTCCCATTGCTTTTTTGCCAGAGTGGGAACGAGACCTGGGGCCTGGGTGGCACCCACACTGCCTGGCACTGCCGGAAGCATGTCGTGTATTTAATCCGCTTCATCTTCACAGTGGCCCTGCAGGGGTGGGGAGAATTCTGGGAAGGACGCGCGTGCCCCCGGCCTCCCTCCAGAGGAAGTGCCCGTGTGAGGGCAGCTGGTGGCTTCCAGACCACTGAGCCCACTTGGCTTTCGAGAGAATCTGTAAACAATGACTGAGTTTCCTTTGACGGCCCTCCTTAGCCTCTCAAGGACAGAATGGCCAGAGCCTTTCCGCCAGCGCCAGCTCCCCAGATTTGTAGATGAGCCACTGCTGCCAGCCACCTGCAGCGTCTCCTCCTTCCCCCGCTCCGCCTTGTCCCCTGCCTCTGGCCACTATCTGATTCCCATCCACGTGAGCAAACAGTGGCTATGTAAACAAATAAACAAAACAAAACAAATTAAAAAACCAATAGCTTTTGGGAAGCAGTCACTCCCCTACAGCAATGTCACCACCCCATTCAGCAGATGTGGAAACCGAGGCGTGGAGGGGTTGAAGGACAGCGCCAGGCAACTGGCCATGACATGCTGCCCTTGTGTTGTTCTGATCCCCGAACCCCCTTCCCCCTCACACCACGGGGTCTCGTCCCCGACCGCTCCCAGGGCCAGGGGCTCTGTCCTGATCTCTCTGCTGGGCCAGGCCCAGCACTGGCTTCCCAAGTCTAATTCTCCCTCATAATCCATCAGCGCCCTTGCAAGACAAAAACTGCCCCGATTTCAGAAAACCAGCCAGTTACCTTACTGAGCAACGGCAAACCACCGCAGACACTCCTGGGCCCCTACAGGGACTCATGCACCCCAGACACTCCTGGGCACCCTCAGGGACTCACGTCCTTCCCTCCCAGCCTTTGCCCACACAGGTTTTCTCCTCTCAGCCTACTCCCTCCCTAGACCTGCCTCCTCCAGGAAGCCACCCTGACTGCTCCAGTTTATCTGTGTCATCCCAGGAAGCTTGTCCAGAGCCAGCCCCAGGGTCTTCAGGACCAGTCTGTTCCTGCCCTGCGGGCAACAGCTCTTTGGGCGGGTGGCCAGGCCTTCTGCAGAGACTTTTGTGCCCATACTGGAGACCTCCTGGTTAGATGGAAGCGAAGGAACCAGGTTCCAGGTGAGGGCCTAGCTTCCAACCTTGGGCACCGGCCCTGCCATCATAGTGGGGGTCGCCAACCACCCCCACCAGAAACCCCTGGGACGCTTGTTGAAAACACAGATTCCAGGGCCAACCCCAGACCTAGAGCATCAGACCATCTAACTGGACCCAGGAATACACATTTTAACCAACTTCCCCAGGTCCCAAGACATGGTGTCCTTGGCAGAGCTCTTTCTAGCTTTCTATGGAGAACTAGCCACTTACAGCGTCTATTCACAACACACTTGCCAGGGAGGCTCAGAGTCAAAGGCAGGGTCAGGAGTGGAAAGACAAGGGCTCCGTCCCCGGGGTGCCGTCAAGTTTGAGACAAGGCTTGCGGGGTTATCAGAGACCCGGACGGGAGAGAAGATGGGCCAGGGTAGTGTGTTTTTTGAGGAAGTCATGCCCTAGCTGGGTTTTGTAGTGTGTAAAGGGGTTTTCCAAGGAGATGGGGGTCAGGGGAACAGCATGAGTCTCCATTTTAGATGGAGCAGTGAAAAACCCACACAAGACAGGGGTGGATGATGGTTTTGGGGGTAGATGGGATGATGGTTTTGGGGGTAGGTGGGATGATGGTTTTGGGGGTAGGTGGATGACGGCTTTGGGGGTACGTGGGATGAGGGCTTTGGGGGTAGGTCTTTGAAGGTTGGGGACCGCCTGTCTGTAGCTGGGAGACAGAGTGGACCCTCTAAGGGCACCAAGAGGCTGCGGGCTTTCTATGCACCTGCAGACAACCGCCTGCCTGAGTTGGGTCTGGTCCCTGGTCCTCAGAGAAGACACGTTGTGGTGCCTAGTGGTACCAGTTCAGACGCACAGAGATGGGGACCGGTGGTGATGGCCATGAGGGCTGAGCCCAGTGGTCCACCCCCATCTCTCTGGTCTAACTGTGGCTAAACAAGGTACTATGGGATCCTGGGCAGCACTGGTATGAGCAGGCAACCCCTGGCGGCTGGCGTGACCAATACCCCGACCCAGCCTGGATTCCAGGTGGGGGTTGCTCTGTGCCCTGGGTGGAGGGCAAGCCCGCCTGGGACAGGGCTCTTTGCCAGCCCCACACTGCCATCTGCCTGCTGGCCTCAGAACTACAGCCCGGCGCCAGGCTCAGCCTTGTCTGGACGCATCAGGGCCTGGCATGCAGATGAGAAACCAAGGCCCAGAGGGCACCTGAAGCTTCCCCAAGTTCACACAGATTGCAGCCACCAAGCTGGAAGCCAGGTCTGCGCAGGCCCAAGGCCTCAGCTTATTTTTACCCTGGGCACAGTACTCCGGGTAACAGAGAGCCAGTGAGGCTGGGCAGAGCCCCTGAGGATGTAAAGCTCTCTCTGAACCCCCTCCTCCCAAGTCCCCCCCTAGGGGAGGCAGGGCCTGGGCTTGGGTCCCCTGGGAAGGTCGGGACAGGAGGTGGCAATTTCTGCTTCCAGCGGACCCTGGCTCTCCCCTCCATTGCTCCCTAGTTCTGTGGGGCTGCTGTCTACAGTGCTGGATGTGGGGTTGGCCAGACACCAGCACAGGGCCAGGGACCCCCGATCTTGGCCATCCTTGCTGGCAAAGCCCCATCAGAGCCCCCAAGGCTGGCTCCTATCTGTGTGAGCACCATCCCTTTGTCCCTGCTTACCAGTTGCTGGGCCAGGATGGGCCCTCTTTGGGGATTTGGGACTGATTGTTTCTGGGTGAACTGAGGCCAGCACCCCAGACTGCCTGGGCCTGAAGGCTGAGG